GAACACACGTGAAAGAAATGGAACGCAGCCAGGCGCACGAGGTCGACAACTCCAGCGACGCAGCATTTAGAGAGATGGTAGATGACACATCGTTGAAAACAGGGCGGTGGTGCTGGCTCTACGAAGGGCGCCGCTAAAAATAAAGAGCCATGCGTGAGTTCCGATATCCTGCAAATCTGAACTTAAAAAAAAACATCGATGTTTCATCAGACCTGAGGCATGCAGCGAGGAAAAGAGAAGCGAACGAACAGCAAGCTATCTTGGCCAGGGTAGAGGACGGAGGGTGTGCGGCGATCGAATTAAGTAGAACTATCCGAAGGGCGGCAAAAGCCTTCCAAGGTACGGTACGAAGCTAAGGCCGCCGGGACCCAGCGCAGAAAAATAGAAACGAACAACTGGTGTACTGGCCCCAAAATTGGCAAATACGATGCAGCCTACTGTAGACTGGCGGCACTAGGCTGCATCCCACCGCCTTGTCTCAGACATCATACACACCGGTTTCGTCCTTCGGTCGAATCAGCCGCACTCCAAGCGCGGCGCTCCGCGGATCCGGAAAACGGGCCTCCCGGCCACCACCAGCACCATCACCCAAACGTCCCGCTGCCGCAGGGGACACGTCCCCTCCTCCCTCCCTCTCAGGCGCCTGCCAGGGGTCTCGCACTCCCGACACCAAAACGTCGTACAGAGCCGTAGCGTCCTTTATCCTGACCTTGGACCTCAGCTTGTAAAGCTTGAGGTGGGTCTTCAGGCTATCTGCAACGGATAGCGGGCAATCCACCAGATATCCCTGGGGGGGGGGGGGGGGGGGTTGGGATATCATATCAAGGGAGTTTGGAACTTCTCGCCCACGGTCAGGTTCGGACACAATTTGTGGAAATCATCTTGCGGGAGAACGAAATAGGGCAATTGACAACATCAACAGACGGGCTAGGCCTGTCCTCGTTCGCGATTTAGATACACTTAACTTTTCCTCTACTCTATTTTCAGCATGTTCACAAAAATCGACAGCGAACGTATCAGGCAATCGCCTATCGAGGACAGGCCTAAGACGGGCGAGGGTAGTCACTGCCATCTACTCTAGCGTGCCAAGAAAACTACTTCTATTATTTCGGATTCTCACCGGCTTCCCCTTCGCCTCGTGTCGGGGGCTTCTCGTCACCAACGCGTCGGCTATCACGCGTCCCTGTGGCATTGTTGTGAGCGAAACGCACCAACGTTACAGCGGCATTAGACGAAACGAGCGAACACGTGCTTACTCTTCATTCACACACAGGATCCATAAGGTGCCAACATATGCGCGTCACGCAGGAGCGTGCTTGAATGCACGCGTGGAGAGAGCAGGGGTGCAAACCCCGTGTGAATCATCCGGGCAACAACCAAACCCGCCCCCCGCATCACGAAGACTCCCGCGCTCTGCGCACGGTAATTTTCTTCCACAAAATAGCTCGTAGACAGCAGCAAATTGGTACTGCTGTTACCTTGGGGTTGAGGAACGCCGCCGATATGCTCGGAAGTCTGCCGTTCTCATCCAGAAGACCCATGTCGTTGGTCATCAAACCTTGCAGCAGCGCCTTCGCATCGACCCCGCTGCGAGCGCACAGAGTCAGCCGGTAGGTCGCCAACCAAATTTGCGAACGAGGGTGAGCGCCACGTAGGGTCACTGGTGGCCAGAGGCAGGTTGTGGGCAGGTTGCAGGGACGTTGCAGTCCAAAGTGTGCAAGTTATCTCGCATCTCGGATAGTGGCGTTACTCCAACGGGCTTCAAGCCTAAAGAAAAAATGTAATCAAGGTCGACCTCGGCCTCCCAACCTCCCCCTCCCCAGGTTGTAGTTGGTGCCCAACCTGCCCCTCTGGCCACCAGTGTTAGGGAGGGTGCGCGAGTTACAAACTGCTGTGGGGGCCCGGGTTAAATTGCCCGACTCCAGACGAACTCCGTGGTGGTGGAAAAGGCCCACCACGTGAGCGACCACCACCTTGATGGCCGCCTTCTTCCTGAAAATCGGCGATCCTACACTTGTAGATCTTTCCACCTGTTCCGCTCCCCGGAGGACTTCCACCTAGATTACCCCTAAAAAGTTGATGGAAGTCCTCCTCCGGGAAGCCGAACCGGTGGCACCGTATAACCCTTGAAAGCTTGACGCACGTCCTCCGGGAAGCGGAACAGGTGGAATGATCGACGACTGTAGCATCACAGATGTTTAGGAAGAAGGTGCCCATCAAGGTGGTGGGGGCGCGGGTTATTTGTTGCGGTTGCGGGAGCTTGGTAGTAGTCGTGGGTGGGCAGGTGTTTCAGCGGCAGTCAAGGCAGAGAATGCGCCCGGGCCTGCAAAACATATGCAAGCAAAGCTGCTGTGGTACGTGTACACCATGCGTATCTTTTCTCGGAAAAAAGAAAGAGGGGGAGGGC